TTATATCTTATAGCATTCTTTTAAAAATGCCTTACAAATGTATATTTATAAACATGCCACAATATATAGACATTCTCATGTGGATCCACTTTTGGATGGTATCTAGTTTTTCTCTATAGTAAACACAAGTGCACAGCAAATTTGTGGACCTGTGAGTAAAACATATGGCTATACGAGGATAATATGTCAGAGATTATTAGTATTTTTGGACAAGCTTTTAGGAAGTTCGTACATTATCGAATGAGCAGATTGGGTTTTTTGTTATTTTCACTTTATTTAAACTGTTGCTTATAATTAGATTTCCCAAAGGAATGGATGTCAACATTCAGATTTACATTAGGATTCCCTAGTTTCACTCTTCATAAAATCGAATGAAAATTATAGTTCTGTTTAAGTTAATTTCATTCAATACTCTTCAGGTTAATAATAATTCTGGAGGTATAATTAAAATCATGGAATGGGTAGATGTGACACACATAACTGAAAATCCAGACATGAAGAAATTATCATTTTATGATTGAAGAGTTTATAATTTTATGAAATAGTTCATAACTCTTCATAAATGCATAAAAATGCAATACAAGGCAGAACAGCTTCCACTGTTTAAATAATAGACATAAAGATAACTAAAGGTAAGAGAAGAAAAAACTTAACCAAGTATACAAGACAAGAACCAAGAATTTGGACCCAAGTGAAAAGTCCATAGATAAATCAATTCTGAGAATAAGAAGCCTTTAAAAGTTTTAAAATGTAAAGAAAACTTAAAATGTCTGTGAGTTGAAATCCTGTGAAATGATTACTTCCCTGGGATGTAAATTCAATGCCTTATAGCAACATTGTATCTGAGAGTAGGAATCCAAGTGAATGTTACTAAAGCCAAGGAATTTAGTCCATAAATATTATAGGCAGCTAAGCTAGGTAGAAATTAATAGGCAGTTAGTGAAGGACAAACCCTCAAGGAAGCCAATGCAGAAGTTGAGAACATGTCAAAACTGTGACTGGAGGTGCATCTGAAGAAGGCAAGGTCTCAAGATTAAATTCACAATGTCCAGACTTGCATACTTCCCTAAATTGGTACCACCCAGTCCATGAAATCCAGATATGCATCAGACACACAAATGTATGATCAGAACACCTGGACCCATCTCTTCTTCTAAATAAGCCAAGTTTAATGTTGTCAGCCATACATCCTTTCTATGTGCTGCGCTTCCTTATTGGATCAATATATCTAAGTGACTATATTTGTAATCTTACTGATTGATTATAGTTTGACTCATGCTGTACCCACATTGTAATTTTGCTGTATAAATTACTCTTGACAAGGGCCTTCAGTGGCAACTCACTTGTAATGGTTTGTGACTGGATGTCCCCCCAAAGCCTTATATGGTCATGGGGGGAAGGCTTTTCCAAGACAGCTGAATCTAGAGTTTGTGATTGGTTCATTGTCTAACGCTTGGATTAGGGGCATGAGTGCTGTACCCACCCTAGGGTACATAGTCTGCGTTCAGTATAAGGGACAGAAAAGAGGCTTGCTCCTCTCCTTTTTTTCTTGTTTTGGCTATCTTTTGTGACATGAAAGACAGCCACACCAACTGCCTTGGAGTCAGCCAATGATGGACTGAAACCTCCACAAACTGTGACCTAAATAACCTTTTCTTTCTTAACTTTGGGCAGGGTATTTTATCTCAGCAATGACAGAAAATAACTAAGGCAGAATTTGGGACCAGAGAAGGGAGGTCACTGCTGTGATTATACCTGAACTTGTGGTTCAGCAGCCTTTGGAAATGGAGTATGGGAAGAAATTGGAAAGGTTCAGAGATATCACCTGAAAGAGTAGAGCTAGAATGCCTGAGGCTGTTCTGTATGGGAGGTTCTGGTCAGAGCTCAAAAAACCAGAAGGCTAATAGAAATCCTGCTAGTAGAGACCAGGCTTGGGAAGTTTCTGCTGGGAAGAAGGACTACATTGGGTACCGGAATATAGATGATGTATGTCACGACTCAGCAAAAAGTTTGTCTGCATTTTGCTCATGTCCAGAGAGTTTGCCTGAGACTAAGATTAGTGGCAGTGGACTAATTAAATGGGCAGAAGAAATTCCAAGGCAGTCAAATGTTGAGGCAGTGGCATGGCTACTGTTGGCGGATTTTAGCCATATTTATGTTGACAATCAACAGCAAAGAGCCTAACAGAATAATTGAAAATGTTGCACGTTTGGGCAGAAGGGAAGCTCCAATAAAGCTGTGGAGAGGAGATCTTTATTGCTGAGAAGGAACAAAAGAATAGAAAAGATGACCTGAGGGCATAGCAAGAAGCACCAAAACTCTACCACTTGCAGCCTCAAAACTGCAAAATTGAAAGACTTTGCTTTGAAGAGAAAGCAAAGAGCACCAATGTCCCAGAATAATGGTGACATAGAGAATTTGTTCATCAGGATTGGATGCAGATTAATCAGCCATTCAGGAACTCTACCTGTATGGCGAAGAGATACTGCTGTCTGGTTGCAGACCTTGGCATGAACCATGTGGTGGTTCATTTTAGGTGAATGGAGAATGGAAGAGTTGTGGGGTAAGAAGGCTTCTGCCTAGATTTCAGAATGCCTGGGAGGCCAGGCAGTGTGCCCCTGAGGGGGCAGTGTGTGAAGTGGTGAGTGTGAAGCCAAAGGTGCAGTGGAGACACCAGAAGTTTGTGTAAGTAAGGAATGTGGATCATCTGAGGAACCTGCAAGGAAGGAGCAAAGCTAGCCCAAGAGAGAGGCCCTAGGAGCTATAACCACAGCAAGTGACATGGGGTGGAGCTACCCAAACCTCTTTGAATTCACATCTTGCCACAGATTACCTCTGATGCTGCACATGGAACTACAGGACTTAATGCTTGCCCTACTGGATTTTGGACTCGCTTTGGTTCCAATCCTTTGTATCCCTCGTTTGTAACTTTTGGAATGTAAATGTCTGTCTTTTTCCATGGAATGTTGGAAGTGTTTAACTTTCTTTTCATTTGTATAGGGGCTCACAGTTAAGAGTTTACCTTACATCTTAGTGGAGACTTGGGACTTGGACTTTTCAACAATGCTGAAACTATTAGGATTTGACAACTCTTGCAGATGGATTAAATGCCTTTTGCATAAAGGGATGTGCATGAGTCTTTGGGGGGCCAGGTGCAGAATGTTACAGCTTGTATCTTGATGTCTCCCCAAAGTCTAATTGATCATGGGGGTGGGCAGGCTTTCTCAAGGCAGCTGAATCTAGAGTTTGTGATTGGTTTATTGTCTAATGTTAAGATTGGGGATATGAGTGCTACACCCACCCTCTGGCAGGAAGCCTGCATGCAATATAACGAACAGAAAAATCTTAGTCCTCCCTCTTTTGCTTTTGTTTTTGCTGTCTTTCACTGACATGAATGGCTGTCCTTCTGCCACACCCTTCTGCCTTGGAGCCAGTCACTTACAGACTGAAACCTCCACATATTGTGAGTCAAAGGAACCTTTCCTTCCTTAGCATTGGGCATTGGGTATTTTGTCTCAGCAATAAAAGAAAAGTAACTAAGACACCACTAGAGACCCCTCATTTCTCTCAGGAGTTATTCCTATTCCCTAGAAAAACTTTCTTACTTGTAACCTCTTTTATCCTTTGGAATTCATTCTTCGATTTCAAAGGAGACCAACTCAGCATATTTGACATCTAGCGGGTTGGGAGTTATATTTCTTTTCTATCATTTAGACCTCAAAAGGAATAGATTGAACAGCATCAGGGGGTATGTAAAGTAACGGTTTTGACAAAGCTAATAATAGGAGAGGCTATAGTGGCATCAGAAAACACAGTAGATAATTATAACTCACATTTTAGGAAGAAAAGAAGCAAGAAGATATATTTTAGGGAGAAATGCTCTCATACCAAAATCTCAGTATTTCCCTCCCTCTTACCTAATTTTCACTACTCTGTTCATTTTCTAATGCCATTAAGAGAGTTTTAAAATATTTTTAAATTTTCTAATGCAAAGGGCTTGACCAGAAAGGCCAGATCTCTTCTGCTATTAACAAAAGCAGAATTCCTTTCTAAGCGACTTTGTTATAGGAATAATAGGATTAGAAAAGAAGCCAAGCAGAATTCTGACAACCTCTCAGTTTATGTGATACAGGGATTGAAGTACAAACCGACACAAGTGGCGTGGTGAATCACCTTGGTTTTGGCTGGGTGTTAAGGGTAATGGAAATATATGCTCACTGGAAGTGCTGCTTAGCTTTTAATCATGACAGTTCCTGAAATTTGAATGGAGTGAGTCCATATTGCTTTATTCCAGTACTTAGCAAAAAGGAATCTTCCTTTCAGAAAAGTAATAATGTCTTTATTCAAGATACAACGTAAGTGTCTGAGGAGAAAAGAATGTATAACAAAACCAGGCACAAACAATAGAAACAGGTCCAGTGCAAAGAATGGAAATGGATCTGTAGGGACTTCAGATATTGGAATAAAAGAAAAAATAAAATATGCTTACTATGTTCAGAAATTTCTTTTAAAGCAGCGGAAATTCTGGCAGGGAGTTAAAAACACCAAAATAAAGACAAATTTAATTTTGCTACTTGAAAAATATCATACTTTTTAGACACTGTGAAACAGGAAGAAATTGTTTCAAAGGAAAGGGGAACTAGAGAGCTAGAAATTGTTTCAATAGGAGGGGGAAAGAAATGGAAAAGAAAATAAATGAGAAAAGAAGGATAAAATGCAAGCAAAACTTTGCAAATTAGGAAATGAAGAGGGGTTGAAGGGAGAGGAGGGGAATGGGAAAGGAGGAGTCAAGACACAGGAACAAATTCCCTATGATGAATGTGAGCATTGTGTATGTCTAACTGGTACCAATAAACTTAATAATAGTAAAACAAAAAATATGATACCCTTTTGGAATACATCATATAAATTTAACAGCAAATGAAGACATATATGGGAAAGAAGTAGTATGATTTTTGCCCAAGTAAAAGTATCCATAATACAAGATAAACAGACAAAAGTTTAGAAAACTGAAGAGAAAATGACAAATGACATGTTTATTGCAGAGATTTAACAAGTGTTACTGAAATATCAGAAGGAACGGAGAGTGTAGTGAATATATATGGACGTTTGTTTCCATAACTACTTTCAGTAAAGCACGTGCTGGCTGGCTATGGGGGGTGTTATCAGCAGATCTTCTTTCAGCTGTCCAGAGCTTCAAAAATAACCTTGACTTGAGACAGTTACCTTTTTCATGTTCACTACCCTTCTTGTATATCTGAGTCAGCTGAAACTGCTGCAGTGAAATACCATACCCTAAGTGACTTGCCCAATAAATATGTTTTTCTTAGTCTTGGAGGTCAGGAGATCCCAGATCAAAGTGCCAGCACATTCAGTGTGTGATGAGGATCCTTTTTCTGGTTTGCAGGTAGCTACCTTCTTGCTGTATCCTCACGGGACAGACAAGGCTCTGGTCTCTGCTTGTAAAATCACTAATCCTATCACTGAGCTCTATCTTTATGAATCTAAGTAACTGTTTCCAAAGTTCAGACCTCCAAATAGCATCATGTGAGGGATTAAGGCTTCCACATAGGAACTTTCTGAGGTAAGAGGGATACAAACACTTAGTCTGTAGCACTGGGAAGCTCTTATCCCATGGCCAATTGATGTAGGCATGTAAACAGCTGGCTGTCTCAACTCAAATTGGGAAAAGATGGGGGATATGATAGCCTTTTATCTCCTTGAGATCAGCTGCAGCTTTCTTTGGAACTGCTTCACAGCTCACTTTGTCCCTCTATCAGATATTCTTGCATTGCTCATTTTACTTCCACAGATGATGATCCCAAGGTTCTGTCTAAACAAGCATCCTCCACACCAAACTCCACCTCAGAGTCTCATTACTGGGAAACCAAACTTAAGGCAGGAACAAAAATTAAAAAGAAAAAACATAATGATGAATTTAAGGCTAGAACCAATGAAAAGAAGCCTGCCTCATGCACCAGAAATTCTGCGTAGGCCAACTGAATAAATTGAAATGAACAGTACTGGTCCATCAAATAAAAAAAAAACTCACATTATGTTGGTGGAGGAGAAAGTTGATCTAAACACAAACACAAAAACAAAGCTATAAATATTCTGTAAGATAGTTGTTCTCCTCATCATGGAATGAATTCTTGAAGTAAAATCCACAATGCTCTTACTAGAAAGGAAAAGAGATAAACTGAATGACTTTAAAAGTAGGAACTTATTTTCTTTAGAAGAATCTTCTGAAAGAATGAAAAAAAATAAGACAAGATATGGAAAGTATATCTACAATATATATCCAGGACACATAAACAGCTACTAGCTACTTTTCCATTAAAAAAGAAATATGAATTAGAGACATTGTGACCATTTATCATGATACATCAATTTGAGTAGATTAAGAAACACCTAACTGGTTGATGGAGCACAGTTTTGGGTGTGTCTGTGCATGACTGACATGTGGGCCAGCAAATTGATGGGGGAAGACCCAACCCAAATGTCCGTGGAAACAACCAATAGGCTTGTAGCCAGGATGGGATAAGAAGAGAAAGAAGCAAGGGTCCCCATTTGGAGAGAGCTCTTGTCCTCTCGAGTGTGTCTGTCTTTTGCTGCCACTGCTGTTGAACATTGGATTCTAGGTCTCAGTTTCTTTGGTCTTCCAATGCAGGCCAGCACTAATTACCCTCCAGTGAAACCTCAGGCCTTTGACCTCGCACTGCTGCTACATCCTTCATCCCTCTTATTCTGTAATTTCCACTGTCTAAGCTGGAGTGTTCTGGAGCCTCTGGATCTCAGAATAGAGATAGCCATTGTAGATCATTCAACCTATGATCAAACAGGTATTGGAAGGCAGGGGAATGGAAAAAAATGAATCAAGTTATATCATGTACAGGTACAAATTCTCTGTGATAACTGTGATTATTGTGTATACCTAAAAGGTATCAATAAAAATAATTTTCTTTAAAAAAATAAAAAAAAATAGCTAGTTTGGACTTTCCCACCTTTTATCCTGTAAGTCTACATAATATATCCTCTTGCATAAATATTTACATATTTTCTGTTGATTTTGCTCTTCTAGAGAGACCCAACTCATACAGACATAATAAATTCTTTACAAAAAAAGATGTTCATATGGCCAACAAAAATATGAAAAGGACATTTAAACTCTGAAAGTTAAAACTCAGTAAAATATTCCTATAACCCTCACCAGAATGAATAAAATTTTTAAAATCTGAGCAATTCCATATGTGTAAGGCTATAGAACATCAAAATCCCACATAAACTACCGATATGTAAGAGAAGATTCATACTCTCTCGTGTGGTTGAAGCTGTCTACTCCAAATGAACCAAAATCGATATATGTAATATATAACCAACAACAATCCTTGCACATATGAGATGTGTAAAAGATATTCATAGTAGCTGTCATAGTTAATTTTCTCTTGTTGCTGAAATAAAATACCAGACACTGAAATTTAAAGGAAAAAAGGCTTATTTAGCTCACAGTTTGTAGAGGTTTCAATCCATTCTCACCTGCAGGGTGGCTTGACAGAAGGGTGTCACAGAGGAGAACAGTACTTGGCAGTCACAAGTTAGCAGAAGCAACTAGGGCTCTTTACTGCCTTTCTACCCCTTTTATTTTATACAAGCTACTTAGCGTGGGTAGCACTCACACACTTAATCCTAAAACCCTTGATCCAGCCTTGCACCAACAATCAATTCCAGTGTCACACTCTATATCCTGCCACCTCTGAAAAAGCCCCACCTATGACCATGAGAGGCTTTTGAGGGACATCTAAACACTAGCCATAACAATAGCCATATGCAAAATAGACATAAGGAGACCATATTTTGGTTATATAAAATGGAATAATATTCAGGAGTGAAATGAGTAAACAAATGTTGTAAGATACATCGTAGTTGAATATTATAAAGCCAATGTTGAACAAATACTATGTGTGATTGTGTATACTTGATGTTCAAAAATGCCAAGAAATGTGTTGGAAAAAATCAACTTACTTTATAAAGCCAGGAAAGGCTTCCATAAGAGTCAGGATTATGGTTATGTTTGGATGGGAAGAAAGTGGTGAGAGATCTGACAAGATGAACATCGGGCCTTGGGGGTGCTGTTTTCTACTTTTTCTGTGGATATGAATAATGAATACATGGACTTTATTATGAGACAGAGTTGGAACAATAAAATAAAAGAAAAAATACACAAATGCTACTCCTTGGCAAATGGCTTTTTAGAATGTGTGGACCATAGGGCATTAGAAAGTTGATAATGGGGTAAGAATTTCAGGTAAGCATCCCTCATTCTACAGTGTAGTTAAGAACACACATAGATATGCATGCATGACTGAAGTGGTAGTCTAAATGTCCCTCTCATTTACAACTTGTTAATGACCTGCTGGGTAGCAGCCTTGAGCAATCTTGCATTTTTACTAAGTCAGTCATTAAGAGAGAAACTGTAAATGACCAGCAGGAAGTAAATTGCCCTTAGTTAAAAATGAAAATGTGTTAACTTCATTTGACTAATAAAATTACTTTTGGCATTATGCCACAAAATAGGAAGCAGCCACAGTTCCTACTGGGAGTTTGAAAGAGGCGAAATGATATTTTATACTTTGATGCTTTGCATATGAAATCTCTAAATTTTATATAAAGTAATTTTATTTCAAAGGACGAGAAAGTCCTTTATTGATGACAGATAGTATTTTGAAAGGAATAGGAGCTGTAAGAAAGTAGTACTAATATTTTGAACTCCATTGGTTAAGCAGAATTTAAAGTAATTAAAACAAATTTATTCAGAAAAATATGCCTCACTTTATTGGCATTTATTCTTAAGGCAAAGCATTAGCATTAAATTCTGTGATTTCAGGTGCACGTATTGCAGTTGTATGTACTACAAATAGATGTAAATGTGCTAATAATATTCTTAACTTTCCTGCTTACCTCTTTGCCTTTGAGCTCTGTTTCCTGGGTTTGGGAAGACGTGTCTTCCCTTTCATTCTGCTGTTTTCCTACCTATTTTGGAGGTCTACTTCTAATGCCTTCCATGACAGGAACGCTTTCCCATTTTGCCTTTGGATTTTTTACCTGTCACCTATATACAAACTATGATAAAAAAGAATACAGTGTGCCCCTAAGTAAAATAGATTTACTGCAGTAAAAATTATATTCCCCTCCCTCTCAGAGGGAATATTTACTTTTGAAAAAATTATTACAGTAAAAACATACTCCTCTGCCTCTTGCTTCAAAGACATTTATCCCACCATGCTTGCCACTTTCTGAAGCAGTTCTGGAAATTTTTCTTCGTAAGTTTCTTCAGTTATACTGTTGTGGTTGCTTTGGTATCCTGAACTGATTTAAAACCTTTACTTTCCACGGTCACTTTGATTTTGGGGAAGAGCAAGAAGTCACAGAGGGCCAGATACGGTGGATAATGTGGACGAGGACTCCTTAAGCTTTCCTTGCAAGCCTGCTTTTCCCTTGGATGGCACTCCTCACACTTCCATCACACTTCACAAAGACTCTCAGGAAAGACTTCCGGAACCGCTCCACGAGTGGCATAATGTGTTCTAAGTGACGGGAAGTATTCTGAGCTAGAAAAAATTCAGCGTCTTTTTCTGTAATAAATTTTTAAAATTAAATATTAACTATTTTTAATCATCGCTTATATAGTATCCTAATGGCACAATCCTTACCTACACATGTTTTTAGAAACTAAATTGCAAAATTATTTATGGATGGAGAGATGTCTTATTTTTCCTTATATGTCCATGGCACACAAGCCTGATATCTTAGAAGTTTGGTGAGATATTTCTTGACTATAACTAAGTTCAACATAGGTAAAAAAATGACTAGGGTGGATGAGAGCTTTCGCTGTATTCCCTCTAAAGATAAATCAATTTTAGCTCATGTGGGACTGCATCTCTATCTAGTAACAGAGTGCTATACCAGTTGACATTGGTCCACATTTAGCAGTTGAGAAAATGGACAATGTTAAGTCTAAGCTAATGTTTTAAGGAGCCATGCTATCAAAGATACATGATCAGACTCATGTGAATTATTTATCAGATGATTCTGCTGCTTTCATAGTTAATATTTATTAAACACTATGTGCTCAGTGGTCTAAGGAGCTATTTGATTGATTAATCATTTTCAATGACACCATAGAACTGAAGTTGTATTAACTTGTGCCTGTGTTGTACTAGGAAAACAGACACTTTGAGGCTTCGATAAGTCCCACAAAGTAGAGGAGACAGTCATGGGCAGGATAAAGCAACAGGTAAGGAGAGGAGATGGAGTCTGGTATCCAATGGTAGAAACCCATTCTGTTGCTAATAGTATGTATAGTGTCAGTCAAGTCAATACTGTAAGCACTTATGACAAATTCTTAAGAAATGCACATTGCAAACTTCCAAAATGACTTTTGCGCAGGCATAAAGATTTCTAAATTGTGCTTGCTTTGATAACATCACTAATATAAAACGGCTTATTTAAAGACATATAGATGCCATTCTAAACACAAGAATGTGAGGTAAAAAATGCTCAGCACAATTTAAGGGCTGAGAGTTCCAATCAGTTCACAATCATGAATGAAATGACAATTAAACCCTGTAGTGTAATATATTGAGTTCAAAGTTAAACCACTTATCCATAAAAAAAACAAAGTTAATAGCAATCTCAGTTTCATCTTAATACGTATATTGAGGCTATGGTATTTGAGGTCATGTTTAGAGGCTTTATGAAGTATTTGAAAAAAGATACTTAAAGGAACTTTGAATTAGGGATCTATGTGAAGTTACTATATTATGGTCTGCTACCTAAAGCAACTTTGATAGTGGCAAAATATATTAGCTATTTATTTAACTTGTGTATTTATGGAAAGAGTACCCTTCATAAAGAGCTGGTATAATTCTTGAGGTCAAATATTTCACTTGTTCAAGTTTCTTTAGGCTGGTTACTGAAAGATTTGTGATCTTAAGAGTGCTTTCTGCAGCAGCTGTTCTTTACACTTCAATTCACCTGACATGTTTTCAAGTACAACTTAGTCATTTAGTACCTAGGCTAACCTGGCTTCACTTCAGTTGCTCCTCCGCACTGATTATATTATCAAATTAGATTCTCTTTGAAGGGCTGGGTGTATACAGTGCACAATGTATAGCAAGGGTTCCGGACATGGTGTAAGAAATTTAGAGAAGAAATTACGTAAAGCATAATCAATGTGACATGGAACTAGGCTAGATACAGATGTAGTGAAGAATTTGTGAAACAGATTCCTCTTGTGTCCCAAGAAATCTTATGCCCATGGCAATTGCAATGAGTGGAATCCACATCAGTACTACTTGTGCTGTGTGTGTGTTTTGAAACGAAATAGCTGAGTGCTTACTTTGGTGCAAGCTTGCCTGTTTCTCACCCAACTTGATAGTCTAAAAGCAGGCTCAGTACTACCAAATGCTATAGCACAATGTAATAGTTGATAAACTGCTCTTTTAGTAGCTTTTTTAGTTGTAGTAATTCACACATCAGTTCAACAGAATCCTGGGTGATCCTACATTTTCAAATATTATTCAAGTAGAGATGACAGTCACTACACCAGCTCATCAACCACTATTTACATTAGATGGATCTAGTTTAATAATAGCATGGCTGAAATTATGGCATAGTTAGTTATGGTTCTATAGTAGTGTGAGATTGGCTCTTCCACTTGTTATTCTATTAATTACCCATAAGTATGCTTTCACAAATTTACAAGTAATCAGAAAATGGCCTGCATATCTCCAATCACATCTTCTCCTATCTTCCCCACTCAGTATAATATCATAAGCCAAATTCTATTTCTTGATTATCAGATCATTCCAGGAAATTTGACACCAAAAAAATTTTTTATTGTCCTTCTTTGAATGGTCTTCTTTGGACACTGCAGAGTTTAAAAACATCTCAAGAAAGACTAATTAAGATGACAGTTGGGGAATTTGTCTCAATTTCTCACTAAAGAACAATGAAAGCATACAACAAGATTTTAAAAGGCCCAGGTAAAAAACTGACAAAATAAAACCCAGAACAAGAAAATGAGTGGAACATTTTCATCAAGACAGATAAAATATGTTTTGTGACCAAAATCTGTTAAGGGCATAAGTTGCTCACTTTATGAAACAAAAATAAGTAAGACTAAATAAAGATAGCAAGACAAGAAGGAGAGTCTGTAACACCCTTTTAATCATGGGAGTCTTGATTTCAGAGCCAGCGTTCAGCAAGAATTGCTATCTTTTTCTTTTGGTTTCATGTGTATTGAGCAGAATGTGGTTCTTTTTTTATTTCACTATTCACAACACTAAGGTAATTTCTGTTCAGTCAGAGATTGCAAGTCTCTGTCACAAAAAATATCCAAAATATATGAGGAAAACATTGCAGATATAAGAAGATTAGAAAGTTAGGGCTTTGGGAGATAGACATAAAAACATCTGCAGAGCGTAACAGAAAGCTCTTTCTCATCTCAGAGTGGAGTGCAAAATGAAGGATCCACTCAGAAAGAATGAAGGAGAACATAATTCTGCAACTGAAAGGTTTGGATATTTTTTGCTTTTAAAAAGCATTTTTGGCTAAATTTAAGGGGCAGAAGTCACTCATGTTTCTTGTAGACAGGCTGGAAAGTTGATGGATTACAGAGAAGTAAAGCACAAAAATTTGTCCCATTTTATATTCATTCTAAACCCTTGAAGACGTTTAGGAGTTGGAATTAAATTTGAGCATACTTTGTTATTAATATGCAGTTTATATTGGCCAAAATTAATATGTCCTGTGGTATTCATATATACTTTAAATATTGCATATTACATATTATTTGAAAAAGCTATAATCTTAGTTTATGGAAGTCATAGGTTTCTTTTTAATGCTCACTTAACTTTATGGAAACTAAAAAAGCATAAATTATACCACCACCACTATGATGATGATAATTTTTAGATATTTTGGACTATAGCTTACATGTAAAAGTTTAAGACTTACAGATTTATTAGTGATGGAACACTTTGGGAAATGGTACTGTTTTTCACTTAATAACTTATCATTAATGAACAAATATGTCATTAATTAGGGTCTCCTTGTTATACAATAATCTAACCTAATTGAAAATTTATACATTATGACCAACTTCTCTCCATTTCTTGGTTCGCCACCAACATTTGAACTTAGGAATCTATCTGCTTCTATCAGTTTAACTTTTTCCTATTCTAAGTATTCATATTTATCTTTCTGTGCCTGGGTTATTTTGCTTAGCATAATGTTTTCCAGCTTTACTGACGTTGTTGCAAATGACAAATTTTCTTTTCCAAGGCTGAGTAGCATTGTGTCTATTTCTTATCCAATTTTTGTCTCAGTAGACTTGTTTGTTGATTTCCTTTGTTGGCTTTTATGAATAATGATGCAATAAACATGGAACTGCAAGTAGCTCTCTGAAATACTGACTTCATTTGGGTAAATACCTAAAAAGGGAATTCTGGAATAGGTGGAGATTTGTGTGATAATTTTTCAAGAAACCTGTTTATTGCTTTTCATAATGGTTGTACTAGCTTATATTCCCACCACCAGTGTACAAATGTCTCTTTCATCCACATTCTTGTTAATACTTCTGTCGTTTTGATGAAAACCATCCTAAAAGATACGAGGTATATCTCCTTGTGCATTTATTTGACTATTAGTGCTACTGCACTTTCTTATACATGAATGGCTAATAAGCTATTTTTATGTCTTCTTTTGAGAAATGTCTAAGTTCTTTATTTTCTTGCCACTGAGTTGAGTTGCAAATATTTTCTTCCAGTTGTGAGTTATCTCCACTCCATATATTCTCTTGGCTATGAACAATGTTTTCAAATTTGATTAAATCCATCTCTCTGTATTGCTCTTTGGGTCATATTATACATTCATCTTCTATATTAATGTCAAGATATTTTCTTGTTTTAGTTTCTAGTCTTAAGTCCATTTTAGTTGATTTTTATATATTGTGTGAGTCCAATTTCATTCCTGTTTCTTGTCACCCTTATTGAATATCCATTAATCTTAAATGTATGGATTCATTTTTGGGTGCTGTCTTCATTCTATAGGGTTATATCTACTTTTATGCCATTACTATGCTGTTTTGTTCACTACAGCTTTTCAGTATATTCAAAATCCAGTAATGTGATGCTTCAAGATTTTTTTAAAACCAAGAGTACTTTCACTATCTGGGTTCTTTTGTGGTTCCATAGAAATTTTAGAATTGTTAATTTATAAATCTGTAAAAATCAATATTGGAATGTTTATAAAAATTGCATTTAATCTGCAGGTATCTTTGAGTTGTATAAATATTTGAATGGCAGTGAGTCACCCAAATCATCAAAACATGAAATCTCACTGGGCATGGTGGTGCACACCTGTAATCCCAGCACTCAGGAGGCTGAGGCAGGATTGCTGTAAGTTTGAGGCCAACCTGGGCTTCAAAGTGAGCTCAAGGCCAGCCTGAACTGCATAGCGAGACCCTGTCTCAAAAAGACCAAAAAAAAAAAAAAAAAAAAAAAAAGAAATCTCAATTTTAACGCTTAGATGTCCTTTTACATATAAGTTCCCCAGTTTTCTAATCACTTATATGTCAACTTTATAATGATAATTTTCTAATTCATATGTCAAATTTATCTTCTGAATTCCAAATTCACATCTTCAAGTGTCTCTTTAACATCTCTGATATCTCACAGGCACCTCAAAGACAAATCCAAAGTGGATTTTTTGATTTTTTTCCTCCTCAAACCCTCCCATGACCTGTGCATTTCCTTTTCTACATTTCAGTAAACAGCCATATGACCTACTCAGATAATTAAGAACTTTCTTGTTTTCTTTTCTTCACTTACTTTTCTTTTTTGGTGAACCACGCTAGCTCCAGAAAACAGAAAGTATTGTCAAGTTAGATATTTTTCCTCTTTTTTCCATTTGTTTTTCTTTTTGGTAAACGATGCTATCTTCAGAAAACAGAAATAAGTGGAATTTGAATGAAATATAACAAGGTTTGCAGAAGAAGCTCTTTGGAAAGATGGCCTGAATGGTCTCAGTAGGTTAAGGAAGGAAAGTTGCCAAAATATGGATAGTATAGTATATGGTCAGGGCTACCCTGATTAAACTTGGTTTCAATAGGGCAAACCAACTCATCACAAGTTATACTTTGTATCTAGGTGTTGCCCCAAAGCCACATGAACTTACCCTCCATAGGTGGCGCTTTTATGAGGTAATTGGATGATGGGGGTGGGATATTTCCCAGTCACTTAGTGGACTGATGAGACTATAGTTCAATGTGATGTTGGGAGGCAAAGCCTGCTGGGAACAGGTGAGGCATTAGAGGCTTGGCCTGGAAGGGTCTGTTTTATTCCCTCCTCTTTTGATCCTTCGCTGATTCCTGCCTGCTCTGCCACAAGCTATTTTTTTCTCTGCCACTCCTCTGTCTTGGAGCCAACTAGCTGTAAAGTGAAACCTCTAAAAACTGTGAGTATATCCTCCTTGGAATTGGGAGTGTTGGGTATTGTGTCTCAGCAATGAGAAAGTAGCTCAGGTAATGAGTCAAAGGAATAAGTCTTAGAGAATAAAAAATAAACCCACATTCTCTTTATACTCTCTGGTCTCCTGTTATACCTGCATTCTGTCAAATACAGTACAAAGCCAGTTAACAAGGGACTCCCACAAACATAGTTCATTAAAGGCAAGGTTTCAGGACACACAGCAGTGTGAAATGGCAGAGTGGAAAAAGAATTTGAATGGACAGATGTGACACATATAGCATGTTTGTGCACTATTCTCCTGCATTTCAACAGCAAATCTCTCAAACCTATCTACAAAATACGAGTGTCCAACTTTGTACATCTTTCCATCTCCTTGGTATTACCTTACCAAAGGTCACCATCACCTTTCACCTGGTATACTGACATTGTCTCAAACACTTTGCCCATGCATGGTCTCCTTTTCCCATCTAATATATAGTGATCTTCCTAAACAAAAAAATCACATCAAGGAACTGACTATGCACACTGCTTGTCACGGTCCTATTTATTTCAATATATTGCTTTTTAAAAGTACTTAGTGGCTTCTTCCCAAGAGATCTTAACTTCTTGAGATCAAGAGCTGTGTTTTCTGTCTACACCAATGTCACAATACTGTGTTTGGTATCCTTTAAGTAGTCACAGGAAGCATGTTTTTTTTTTTATTGGATTTTGTTAGTTTAACTTTAAAAACTCAAGGTAAGAAATATAAACTACTCAATATCTGTGTTGCTGTCCAAAGGCACAAGTGGGAGGGTCTGCATTTAGAGTTTCTGCAAACATTTTTGTGTGAAAATATTCAGTTGAACCTCTAAGAGATTGCTCATCACGTATGCCCTGGTCACAGGATGCAATGTGAACAGTGTCTTCTAAAATACATTTTCCTTTTGTAGACTGAGTCTGCATTTTGGTGCAGTGTCTTGTTTGTCACATTTCCCCCAAGTCACCCAAACCACCACAGTTCTCCAGTTTCTGTCATCTACTACATTTCAGGGCAGAGTACAAAAGTCTTAATGGCTTTCAGTGGGGTGATTCTGCCGTTACCTGTGCTTGAAACTTAGAAATGAGGAAACTGAGATACAAAGAACCATATCTAAAGTCAGCTAGATGCTAGAATATCTATTTAATAAAAGGAAGTGGTGTAATTGTTTGGGCAAATTAAAGCTTTTATCTTTATCACAGTTATCTATATATATGTTCTATGACTTTTTATGCTTGAAGTCAACAAATAATTCTTTAATCTATTTGCATTAAAATGGACCAAACCAGTAAAATAAGGAAAAATTAGAAAAATATAATTAGTTCTAAAAAGACTATCAAACAGCCAGATGTTGAGAAAGCATAGATATTTGATTTACCTATTGTCAGATGTCCAGATATTCGTGACATATTGATGTTTGTCATCATGTAGCAAATATCCAATTAAAACTTTTAATTCAAACCAGATGTTTTATTTTGTACATCTGGCAATAACCTGAACAAGAACAAAAAATCCAGTACTTTTTCATGCTGCTAATTGTTTATGAATATTCTACCTCAAGAATGGCTTGCATACAAAAGTAGCAATTACATAAGTTATTTCCAATAAATTGTGCTATTGTCATGAAAACTATTTTAAATGTATGCATATTACAATCAAAATGTCTTTAAACATAATGTAGAGTGAAAAATAAAGTTTTAAAAATATATAGTATAATTACATTTATGTAAAACAAAATTACACAGATTGTGTTTTACTCAAGAATATATGCAATAATTTTTAAATGTACTATGGATGCATACCAAATTCATGCTTATGAGAGCCTCAAGATAAGCAGGGATATGTTATAACTGTCCCCATAAGGGAAAAGTTCTAGCTTAATTCCTGTTCTTTTCCATAAAAAAAATCAATTAAAAGAATATGTTAAAACATTTATTTGAGTTTTCACACTATTTGTCTAAAACAATTTTTTTTTTCTTTTTTGGGAGGATACTAGGTAAAACAAACTTTCTTTAAAAAGAATAAAATCAAATTTTGCTTTAGATTGAAACCTATAGTCATTAATATTCACACTTTATTATCCCTTGAACTCAGTTCTTAAAAACAAATAATGTAGTTTTTATTTCCAGAGATATGTCTACTATTGACACTTCATATAAAGGCAATCAAATAACATGAGATTTTAAAAATGTCTGTATTCTTTCACAACCAAATTTTTCAGTATTCCTCCATGACATGGCCCATACTGTAATTTCTGTCATGTAGCTGAATAACATTTATTGGTACACGTGTAGCCATCTATGCTTACCCATTCATCAGTTGATGGACATTTAGATTACTTCTACTTTATATCAATTATTAATAATTCATGTAAAAATGGGATATAGACTTGTTTTTGAGTCTCAGATATATATTTAGGAATGTAGATTCTGGATCGGAGTAACTTCAATATTTTGAAGAATTGTAAGCTATGTTCCAGGTTGTCTGTACCATTTTACATATCTACCAGAAATATGTGCAGGTTCCAATGCTCCTTAACTTCTTGCTCATCCTTCACTTACCCAGTTTCTTCCTTTCTGTGTTGCCAATTCTCCGGAACTAAAGTTATGAGTACACTAGCATTATAGGTGGTACATAAAGGGTATTTGAGGCTCCTTTGTTACTTTTCACTACTTTGCTTTTAACCTTTCAGATTTAAAAAAGTAATTGATTTTCTTCAAGATCATTGATTTTTTAAAATCTAGAGAAATTTTCACCTTATTTTCATCCTCAGAATATTTTTTATTGTATAATTTCTATTTTTTAATTAATATTTCACATGGCGAGATGTCATTCTCAAATATTCTCTTACCTTTAAAAACATATTTTTGTTTGTTTACTTCATAAATTGTAGTTTAAAAGCTAATAAAGTCTGGTAAATCCAGTAGCTGGTATTCTTCAGGGCATTTTCAGTGGGCAGCTTTATTTTCTCTGTCTGGACTACATTTCACTGATTCTTTATATGGCTCATAACTTTTTATTCAAATATTGGCATTTTAAATATTAATGTGCCAACTCTGGAAATAAAGTTGATTTCTCCCTGCTGTCTCAGTTTTGCCATTGTTGCTAAGTATTGCTGCTAATTCTTGTTTGTTCGCTTAGTGACTTTCTTGGATTACATCTTTAAAGTATATATTCTTTTGTCATGTCGCACCATTAAGGTCTTTGCTTTATTGGCTTAGTGTTTCACTAATTGTGGTAAAGAACTCTCCTAATGTCTTAAGCTTCTGTCTCCCTGTCATTGTGAAGGGGCTTAGCGCATGCTTTGTATGTTTTAGGGGCAAGACATTGAAGCTCCAATGGGCAGTTTGCAATTCTGTGTTATCCTTCACTTCCTGTGTGTTTAGAGCCTCATAATCAGGCACAGGTGAAACTAGAGAACCTTCTTAAGCCATATATATATAAATAAAATTTTATAATAATAATTAATAATTATTACCATTAAGTGATAGTCAATTATACAATATAATTTGTCATAATTAATATACAATGCATTATGATAATATATATTAATATATACTATATATATACACACATGCATATACTTTTCCCAAGATCATTAATTTCAAAGTACCATATGTACATCTCCCTGATATTTTCTACTAAGTCTTTTGTTAAAGTAGTAATGCCATCTCAGAGTTAGAGTTGTTGCTGACTTTTTATTACTGATACCTAGAAGATACGATCATTAGTGTGGAGTCAGCTCCTAGTCAGTTCAGCTAAAGTGAAGCCTTGAGAATTAAGCTTTCTGGATTTCAGATAGGTCATGTAGTGATGGTTTTTTCATTTGTGATACTTTGGGACTTCCAGATTTATTCAGGTCTGTCTCGTACTTTCTGAACTGCTGTTTTCAAATGTACCGTGCTGTTTTCAATTTTACCATTGCTAACTTCAGGAGTGCCATGGAACTGCAGCAAGGTGGATTTTGGCAAGTTAAAAATGCCACAGTGTTTATTGCTCTTACAGAAAGGCAATGTTTTCTTTTCTTTTTCTTCTTTCTTAAATATTCCTGACAGTTTTACAATTCTCTAGTGCATCTCTAATACTGTGAAAAGGTTGTTTTGATTATTTATATTGATTGTATGCAGGATATTTTCAGAGATCTTTATTCCACCATTCTGGGACTTGGGTTCCAACCTTTTTTTTTTTTTAATAAGTTTAATGTTCTGCTGACTCTGAATATCTTTTTCAGCTTCTGTGAACATTCCCAAGAGCACAGGTAGTTTGATGCTTTGAACATATGTTTCCTTGACCTCAAAGATGTCATACTTAATAATGTAAATGATTGATGAACTATTTTATTCTTAAATTGGCTATCGATAGGCAAAAGACACCAAATGGGGATCTCCTCCAGTGTACAGTTAAATTACAAACCTAAAATTTAAGTAGAAATGTATATTCTTTTCTACAATTGGCAGCACTTAAAATTCTGCATACAGTTAATACATTGAGCAAATTTTGCAGAAAACTCAAGCACAAAAAGACAATGTAGAATATTTCACCTAGAGTCTGTGAAGATTTTTGCATAGTAATAATACTGATAACAGTAACAGCACATCTAAAGCAGCTTATTGAATATACCAGGCAGCTAATCTCAGAATAATATTTTTTATATGAAGTAAGTTATTACGCTTCTTTAGGAATATGTAGAAATTAGAATTCTAGAACTTCTCATTTCATAAGTTTCAGACTTATGTACAATAATGAACATCCACTTGCAAAACAACATTTTAGTTTAAAGTACTTTGAAATATACAATTTATGCTCCATTATGTAGTCAGTTTTCTTAGTGGGAATGAAAGAAGGCTATAGTTTTTTAGTAAAAGAGAAAAAATATAGAACTATAATATGTGTGGAATAATATTGTTTTAATCCATAAAATTGTTGATGTGGTGACTTTAATATAAACACATTGACTATGTGGCTGACGACTGCAGTGTCCTAGGAATTGCTGTGGCAAAATGTTTAGCTCACAAAATCCTCACATTGAAAATGCCATAAAGGAGAAAATATTCTAAATGAATCACCAAATAGACTCACTTATGCATCGGTTAATTTATGCATTTGCTTATTTATGCAACATGATAATCTCTTTCCTAATTCTCTCCCAATTGGCCACATGATTAATTTCAAGCCCTGTGTTAATCAGTTGAATTTCACATCTCTCTCCTCTCACTGCTGGTTAATTTCTCCCATTTGTTTCCCAAAGTCCAAACAACTTTGGTACCCAGGCATGTAGTCCACATGCATCATGCTTATACTTCTGAATCTTCTTGTGTGCTCTTTCTATTGGAATCAAGTCCTCAATCCCTACCTCTAGGACTCAGTTTCGATGTAACCATGTAATTTTGTGAACAGTTTCCTCACCTTAGGTGTGATACCAGAGGTAGTTAAGAAACCACAAGCCCCATTTTATTTTTTGTGACAGGGTCTTGGGTTTTGCTATGTAGTTTGGGCTGGCCTTGAATTCACTGTGTACCCCAGGCTAGCCTCAAACTAATGGTGATGTTCCTGTCTCAGCCTTCCAAGAGTACTGGGATTACAGGGATACACTACCATGCCAGATCCTGAGTATGACATAGAAAGCTCCATGCTTTAGAATAATTTGCTATTTTATTAACGTTGGTGCTTAGGATTAAATCTAGGGCCTTGAACATGCTAAGGACGAGGACTTCCAGCCTTAGCCCCTTGAATAATTTCATATTTTAGGTGTGGAATATCACTGACAGGATAAAGTGAATGTGTTCAGGATTGAAGGTGCAGCACCCTGTCCTATAAAATGTAGGTTTTCTTTATACTAATGAGCAAGCAATGATCTTAAGGATGGAACTGACACATATGAGAGTGACTTCCGAAACCACAGAGAAGAGTAAGAAACACATTTCCTGGGTATCAGGAGAGTGTAATCCATAAATTGTCAGAGACTCAGTTCAGGGAAACAGCAAATCTTAGCCTGGAGGCAGAAGGCTTCTGAATTAAGGGAACATCATATGAGACTTGAATGGCAAACTACATCTTCTTTGTTCCTCACTTTCTTTCCCAGAACAACGGCCATTATATTTCTGCCTATCTCTTAAGTTTCTTCTAAGGAACTTAGTATAGTTGGTTAGGGAAGTCTCCTCAGCAGCGCAAACAGCTTTCTGATTCCTCCCCTCTCTCCCTTTCTCTCAGTCTTGAATTTTATCCTCTTAGATCTGCTTATGATGTACCACTTTAATATTTTGGCAATCTCCTTACTTTGCTTCTTGTCCCCCGAATCTGCTGTTCATACTAAATATTCAAAGTGCACCCTGGGTAAATTCAGCTATTTTCTTTCTTCTTATCTTAGCTGGTAATGTTCAGCCTGACTGGAGAAGAATGACATACATTTATCCACAGCTGCTGCTATAATCCCTGTCCTCCACCCTCAGCTGGACTCCAAGGCAATGCAGCAATCCCTCT